AACAGGGCACATGCTACTAGCCTATTGCCAGAAACACTTCAGTGTCTTTGTATTCAGTTTTTAAAACAACTTATAAATGGCTTTACCTGAAGAAAGCATTTTCTTTAACAAGGATGTGGACCACCAAAGATTAATCTGTTAGATTCCTGGATGAGTTCAATACCTAAAGCACTTATCTTTGGAAGTCTTGTGTGCTCAAGCCTGCACCTCCCACATGAGCACAGCCTAGAGCAAATCTAGGGAGGTGTGTTCTTCACCACCTGTATTGTTGAAGATTTGCAGCAAGGAATATGGGGTTTATGGGGCCAGAGAGAAAAAGGCTGACGGTAGCCTAGTGACTGAGGCACTTGCCTATGAGAATCCTGGATTCCTGTCCCAGGACTGTTAATATACTTTATATTAGTTGCTAGATAAAATACTGAGGTCCTGAAGAAGGCAACTAAGTTAAACTCTAGACTCCTCTCAGGTGAGAACCTTTGATACTAAGCCATGCAGTTCATCCAATCCAGCAGTGCTTGAACTCTTTTGGCATGGTGGCTGGCTTTCAACAGGAGGTGGAGTATTCATCTAGCAGATAGCTAGGTGGTCATGGCATTCCCTGGGAGATGCTTCAGGCATGTTTGAAGCATGTTTCGATAAGGGGAACAATTGAATCTGGGTCTCGTGCTTCCCAAGTAGTTTACCTGCTAGGTTATGTAAAAGCTAAACATTTCTCCTCCTGACTATGGTTTTAGAGTTGGCCCTTCTCCCTTGTTTGGCAGAATAGATAGATGTTGGAAGACTCTAATTCGTTGAATCCCAAGAGAATGGATGTGATCCAAGTGTTTAAGTTCAAGAGAAGGGTAGGATTTCAGACATTCCCTTCTCTACTTGTATTTCCCATTCTTCCCTGCTTTTAAATCCGGGGTGGGGGGTTAGCAACCTGTCAGATGAATCTGGCCTGCAGGAACCCAATTTGGCATGGGGCAGGTGGTGTCACGGACCTGTACTACCCATCCTCTCTGCAGTGGAGCATTGTGCCTTGCTGCAGAGGGATTGAGTAACAACTAGCTGCTTGGTTGGTAGAACTTGTTGGGGGGGACAGGGAAGACCAGGTCATGTCACAGCCACACTGGCAAAAGTTGCTGACATCTGCTGTAGAGCTGCCTGCTCAGTATTGGGGTAGCTGGGTTGCCATTCTGAGAAACCAAAATATTGCCATGAATAGCATCAGGAACCTGGTGTTTAAGGTGGGGTTCTCAATCCCATGCCAGGCCTTTTTCTTTAAATGTTTAGAGTTGGGTGCTGAGGTACCCTAATCCTTCACTGAGGACTAGCCAGTTATTATTATTATTTTTTTTTTTTTTAGAACTGTTCCCAATTAATTTAGAAGCTATCAGGCAAATGGTATGAAGTTCATGCTTCTTCTAAACAGTCACCCCTTTGAAGAACTTTGGCCACCTTTTTATTTAAAGTGGGTTGTACCTCTGTTAGGGGTAATATATACCCTTATCAGAAAACAAAGGCATAAAAGCTGTAAGCATATAATAATGTCAAATGGTAACTTGCTCCAGATAGAAGTGGGTGCAGTTTTCTTGCTTTCCTCCAGGAAAAACCTTATAGGACCCTTAAAGTGTTTTTGCTACCCTGTGGTGGGGAGGACTAATCTCAACACCACTACAGATTTGTAATGCTGCTGTGGTTCTAATGGGAATCGCCAGATATTTGGATAATTAAATGTTTCCACGTGGTCTCATCTTCACTGAGCATATGGCCTTAATCTTGTTTTATAGTGGCTAGCTGAATTAAATCTCTTGTTCTGGACACTTGTCTAAATCTGTTCAAAGCAAGGGGTTAACTTGTGCACTTGGTATGTTTTTGTCAGAGGAGTACTGACTAACTGTAACCTTGAATAGCATCTAGTAGCATCTGAAATACGGAGTACTGTCTGTTCCCAGAGTAGTTGGCATTTGTCCTTTACTTCAATGGTAAGATAATTGGTGGCAGAAACTTTACCGTGGGAAAGGTGAACTCCCGTCATGTGAGTTACGGTGTGAATCGGTACAGTGTGAATCAGTAACTTTCTCACGCTGGCATGGTATTGTGTTCTTGCTATCCGTGTTTGAGTGTCTGCCATTTGTTTGCTATCCCATGGTGGCAGTGTACCTAATGAATAAGAGAGATTTAATGCAGGAAATAAGTATTTATGCATGACAAGGAAGGTGATAAACATTCTCTTGTGTAGAACAATAGTCTGGCTGGATCTTGCCAGATAAAATTCTAAATGCCATTTGATTAACTAGATGAAGCAAAACGTCTCTCAAATGCAAGTGATCTTTCAAGGACTTATTGGGATGTATAGACAGTGAAAAATGAATCTCAGACTTCTTGTGCATCTTAGGCGATTGAATTTAAACTGGTGAAATTATCTTAAGGCAAAATTAGAGACAGTCTTGATACTGTGTCAAGAGACCTAGAAAGCCTGCTTGTGGTGATCTTTAAATGGGTTGCTGCACTATGGTTGAATTAAGGCCCCAATACGAACACGGCTCTTGTCTGACCTGTTACTGCAGTGGGGCCTGGCTTTGTGGCACATCTGCCCAAAATTAGTCCTGCACCCTCCCCAAATGCCACCCTAATCACCTTCTTCTGTCCTATCTACTTCTCTGCTTTCTGTTTCCGGCCCTATATTTCACTGTTCCATGCTCCCTCCTTGATCTGCCATGTGCTGCAGGTTGGCCACTCTGAACACTTAAGGTCTTTCATACTTCATACCTAACCCAGCTAAAGCATATGTAGGACTTGCCCCTGGAAACGCAATTGATAGAACCCAGCCATGCTACAAATAGGAGTCCTGTCTTAACAAGGTCCCTTTGCTTGGCTGGAATTACAGTGCACTCAGTCTGAAAACAGACTCAACAAATGCTGTTAATCCTTATCGTTGAGTAATTCATGTCATGTGACAAGCTTAAAATAATCTTCTGAATGGAATAAAATAACTTTTGATATTTTTAAAACTACTTCTCTCTTAGAAGTACTTCACAGCTAGCACATGCAGCTCAGCCCCGAGGCGGACTCTTACAATGATTCAGCCTTCAGCAGCAGGCTGCCTTGTTGGCAGAGGCAATCAGGTATGAATTATAAAACTCACTTAATCTGTAACAAGTCAAATGTTGTGGGGTTAATTATGGATAAGGTAGAACTATAGCCTACACTGAGTATACAGTAAATTGCATATGATCCATTAGTGGTGTAAATGGTAGTCTAAATTGTGTTTGCATCCTTCATAGCTCTGGGGCAATGAATATTAAATCTAGCATGACTGCTTCAAATGGTTTGAAAGCACTTCAGAAGAACTACTTGCTTATCAGATCTAGAGAAGTAATACGTTTTTTAATCTCTCTAGCATTAGATTTGCCAGAATTAAATTTCAGTACAAAAAATCTGGAATAGGTGCAGTTGTGGCACAGAAACTGCTGCGCTTTGAAGGACAGAGTCCCTGTTGCCGAAAGGCATACAAATTAGGAAAACATTCCTTGTCACTTATTAAAATGCTGAACAGAAATAGTACTCTTGCAAATTCATATCATATCTCAGAATCAAACTGCTTCTACATCACAGCCTGCCAAATCCTCAATCAAGAGGAAACTTTGGAATAACCAGTTGATTTCAAAGAGTTGTAAAACTGAAGTTGTCAAAAGAGAACAAGAAAATGAGAGTCTAGATGACATCACTCAAGCTGTGGCTCTTATGGTAAAAAGTAAGTGGCATTGTTGTTTGGCATGCAAAAAAAATGGTGGTGGTGGTGGAAACTTAAGCCGCACAGCTTGTCCTCACTTTATTTCTGCCAAAACTAGATATTGGTATTGTATCATGCTGTTGCCAACAGTAACAGGTTTACCAAGCTTAATCAATTCTATGTCCTTTCTGTGAGCTAAATATGGTATATGAAATTGGTCCTAAGGAGGCGGTGCTTGGCTGTTTCAGAACCAATAACATATGCTTACAAGCTAAGCTTGAAATCCTACAGCTCAAATCAGCTAGGCAAGTAGTATTCATGGGTTTAAGACATGGGTTGGTAACCTTAAGCCATGGGCTGGATCTGGTCTGCAGAGTTATTAAATCTGGCCTGTGAGTCTTCTGCTGCAGGTGGGGATAAGCACCTGCCTGCCTCTGATCCAAAGTGGGCCATTTTGGCTTGCATCTGGAGAAGGCTGCCTACCACTGGTTTAAACAATGTTTAAATAAAGCTGCAGTTGTGCTTTGGCATTGACCTATGACAGTTTTGTCTCCATGAACACTTGTTAACAGTGCTGTTCTAAACTAGTTCTACTTGAATAGCATCTTTTAGTTGAGGAAAAATTCTTCTGGTGTGGGGTAGTCTTTTTGGCAACTGAACCTCATTTAGCTAGCTTTTTTTCTGATTTGACAGTCACTTTTGTGACTCCTAAGTAAAGTGAACATATGTCCCGGTTTAGCCAGGAGAGTCCTAGATTTCGAAGGCTGGTCCTGGCTGGTTGGTGAGAAATTAAAACTAGCATCCTGGAAAGGGGTGCAGGGCACAGTCCAGCAGGGAGATAGAGCGACTAGTGTGCCAGGCAGATGGGCAAGCAGGCAGGCACCAGTGGCAGGCTGCCTTGCACACGATACCACCCTGCTTCTACCTCTGTCTGCACCAGTGCCACTAACTTGGGGGAGGAGGAAGAAGGGGAAGTGTCCCAGACTTCCCTTTCTCCCATATGGTCACCCTATGACGAGTATCTTGCAACTGGGATCATCTCATAATGCATGTTGCAGATTCTTACTTCAGCCTCCTACAGTCACCAGAAAATTTATCTTTAACACTTAAGCCAAAAAACAAATTGCTACAGTTCAGGAGCTTGGTCTGGGTGTTGGAGATGTTTGATTTTTATTTATTTTTTTTTAACAGGGCTCAAAAGTGTTCCTGTACAGTTATTAGTAGATATGCACATCCACAGTAGTTAGTAGAGCTCATAACTGCTTTTTAGCAGGTTGCAATGGAATGTCTAGTAATAAATGGCAGAATTGCCCAAAACTTTAATGTAACAATTTTGAAAGCTTTAGGAGTTGGCCCTCTTAAATTCAAATCCTTGGTACATAACACCTCTCACATGAAACTCTTACTGCAGAAAGTCCCCCATCTCAGTACTGGAAGGAAGTGGCTGAAGAAAGGAGGAAGGCTCTGTATGAAGTACTTCAAGAAAATGAAAAGGTAGTTAATTCCCATTTTGCAGTTACTGGTAATAGCAGGTTTTGGCTGCTGTCCTGGAGAAATGTTTTAAACTGCCTTTTTTCCAGCTGCACAAAGAAATTGAACAAAAAGATGGTGAAATTGCCCACTTAAAAGAAGAAAATGATGAGCTGTTGTTACTTGCAGAGCACGTGCGGTATATGACAAACATGATTGAAGTAAGTACAAAAGACTATGGGGGCCTCTCGTTTTTTGTTCTGTTGTTGTAACGGGTTTTCAGCCAGGGGTATGTGTACCGCTGCAGGTACTTCTGATAGCCTCAGGGAGTATTCCAGCTGTGGGTGCCGCTGCTGGCACTTCCATTCGGACCCGCCCACCCCTGGGTCGCTGATCGGCTGCTGGGGGTCCAATGACCCAAAAAGGTTGAAAACCCCTGACCTAGAACATTAACTATGGAATGTCTGCTAAACTCTGATTTCCATTTTGGGTAGTAACTACTCTTCCATGTTGTCAAAAACCAGCCTGACCATGATGTTAGCTTACTGTATTCTGGATATCTGCTTTTTCCACAAATGTGCTGGAGGCCTAGTTTAATGACTGATTGCCCTAAATTGCTTCTCAAACTTGATTCTTGCCTGCTGGCCCAAGCCCATGGGGAATGTTGAACTCGCTAGAGCAGTGGTGCTCAACCTTCTGGTCCCACGAGCCAAACAAGTGGCACTGTGTTGATCTGTGGGCTGGATCTAGTACAGAGTTACTGCATGGGGTTGGTCCATGAGGAACAGCAATTAATACTACCACTTTTCCACCTGCCACCAAAATTATTGGCCAGTAGGGAGCCCCATGGGCCAGATCTGGCCTGCAGGGTAGGGGCTGAGCACCACAGCACTAGAGGGATGAGTTCCTTGGCATGAGCCCTTGGTTAAAGCGAGATGCTCATTAGCCAGCTTGGGGGATGTCTGCCACCATCTCTCAACAGACCAAGCAAGGAGAAGACCGAAGGGACTCTGCTTCACCAAATGCTAGCAAGGTCTCTGAATGGGGTGTTGGTCTATCACAAGATTCATGGAAATCTATAGCTCATGTTGCATGAGTGTAAAGTGGGTTGTGGTGTGTGGCTCTTAATTCTTTGCTAAGCATGTGTTCCTCTTGCAACTTAACTTCTTCAGAGGACAACACGTTAAATGACTGAGCACCTGGGGTCATGGAAGGTCTAAAGCCCTGGCTCAATGGCCAAGACAGCTGGATTGCAGAGTTTTACAACCAAAAGGCTCAGCCCGGAGAACTGTACCTGCAAGTGGATTAAAACCAACTCTTAAGTTTTGTGGTGGTATTGTTTTTGTTAAGCTATCGGGGTTAAACTTTGCTTTTCCATTTGAGTTTGTGGCACTTCATTTTTTTTTCCTCATAATTACTGTATTTACCCAAATGCAAGATGACTTTGAATTTAAGATGCAGCCAGTAATTGTATTCTATACATGGAAACATTTTTTTTTTAAATGTTAATCTTTCCACATATGGAATCTAACTATTGGAGGGTTGTTTTAATTCATCTGTCCCACCACTGCAGCATGGGAGGATGTGGGGGTGGGGAGGGAGAGTAGGACAGGTGAGCCCCTGTCCTTGCCACAGTCTCTGGATAATAATAAGACTTCAGTAGCACTTGACAGGGGGGGGAGGAATTTGGCTCCTCATGCTGTTGTGAGGAGAAACACCTGCCCACTTCTAACCCAAGGTGAGTCATTCAAACCTGCAGCTGGAAAAAGTTGCTGACTTGCTGTCCAAACAGTCATGCTAATGAAGTTCAGACATAGTATGGGTGTTGTCTGTGTAGCTTGCAGTGGTAAGTATTATCACATTTTTGCCTCAGCGTATCTAATTGAGTTGAAATCTTCTAAACTGGCATCAGTTGTGTAGACAGTCTGAGACCTAAAGGCCTAACTTTAGGTAGTTGCCAGTTGCATGTGAGCAGCATACTGTCACAACCCAAAGTTGTGGTTTTTGTTTTTGTGTGTGCTTTGGCACCACTGAATTATTTTCCCGCTAAATTGCAGCTTCTTTGCATGGTGGAGTTTTCTGTTGCAGAGGAAAACCCCGGTGCAAGGGAGAATTTCCCGCCAATTTGAAGCTTTCTTTGCAGGGTGCATTTCTTCTTTGCAGCATAGAAATGCACGTTGCAAGGAGTTCCCGCCATTTGTATTTAAATTTGTGCCCCACTGTTGGCTGTTTCTAAATTATGCACATGTGGCGGCTAGTGATTGGCTTGCTAGCCATATAAAAAGTTTGAGTGGTTTCCGCCCAAGTTGGAGGACTCCACGAACACCAGGAGGAGGAGACTTCACGCTGTGTGAAGATCTCTAAGCGCTGCGGAGCCTATCGGACCCAGCACATTTCAAGCAGGCAACAGAGGTCTGATCAGCCTCTAGCCTCTCCCCGTCGCCGATAGATTCCTAGACGTATCCCTCCCTGTGCGCAAAAGAACTGGACCCACGGAGCCTAGCAAACTTCGTGTGAGGTCAGCTGGAACAACTGACAGTTGTTCAGACGACCAAACTACCTCAGAGCACAAGTTCCACGGAGCCTAGCAAACTTTGTGTGAGTTTATTCAGAGCTCTTTTGTACGAGTACTTTCTTCGGTTGACACAACGGGCTCGCGTGTTTAGAGCCTTCAGCTGGATTGAGCTAGAGTTCGCGAGTTTAGAACTCTTGTCTGCCTCTCTTCTTTCCTGTCTGTAACTGCAACTCAAGCAAGTTTTCCTGCCTGCACCGCGACCATCTTCGGTGTAAGTAAAATAATCTTTAAATCAACCACTACGTGTCTGTGACTAATTCTAGCCCGTGCGTGCCTTGCCGCCGCATGGTCTCCTCTGACCCCGCATGCCCGGGCTGCTGGTCACAGCCCGCGTGCACAAAGACGGGTCCACATATCGCTCCTGGCTCGCACATGGCGACATGGACAGGATCGGGAGGCGGCCCGCACACATACTAGATCACAAATGGAGTGTAATGAGAAGTTTTAAGCATTTGTTGAGCAACTGACACACTTCTATTGCAGTTTCACTGCTTGAACTAGTATGAGTTCAACCCTACCTCTGTGTTTTTTATAGTCCTTCTGTTTGCTGTTCATCTGGATAACAAGATAACATTAGGTTGTAGCTGGATTTTAAAAAAAAATAGACCTAAACTAGTGAGGATTATGCAGGATGGAGGCAATGATGGTTTGGTCTTGTGCATTTTTCAGGGGACACTTGCCTGGGGTGGTGTATGTTTTGGTTTTTTTACTCAAAGTAAAATGGCTAATCTAGCTATTAATAATAAAGGCTTGGCAGATGGATGTTGGAAAACGGATCCCTGTCAAGTTTGAACTAGTCATAGATTCATAGATTGTTAGGGGCTGGAAGGGACCTCGCAAGATCATCGGGTCCAGACCCCCTGCACTAGGCAGGAAAGACAACTGGGGGTCGGGTGACCCCAGCAAGGTGACTGTCCAGTCTCCTCTTGAAGATTTCTTGGGTAGGTGATGGCATGGTTCACCTAATATCAGTGACCTCTAAACATTTGCTCTTCTCAGGTCAAGAATCAACAGGTCCATTCTAAAAAACAAAACAAAAAAACTACTTGCCTTGTAGCACTTCAGAAAGCCTTCTCATTTTATATTGCTGTGATGGAAGAAAACTATATGTAAAATCAGGATCAAAGATAGTCATGGCAATATAGTGTACTAAAACCTTATTTGGAAAATAATTTCTTTAAAGTTTGGTAAACTCACTTCTGGCAAAATAGACTTTGCCTAGGCATCCTAGAAAGCCTCGGGCAAACTAGATATAACTGCATACTGGAAATAGCACTTCTGGCAGAGACTTCAAAGAATGGTTTAACACTCGACTAATCAGAAAAAATGCTTCATTTTACAGAAATTAAAATTATATTCTAACTGATTACTAATGTCCTATATATAATTTTTCCTCCTGTATCTTCCAGAGACTGACTGGGCAGGCACCCGACAGCCTTGATGCATTAAAGGATCTAGACTTGGAAGAACTTAAACAGGAGGATGAAGAGAGGGATTTGGGGAGTAATTTAAATAGTGATTCAGAAGAGGAGTCTTCAAAGTCATGTGATTCTGAGGAGAATGCTAGAGTCTCATGTGTGAACAATCCAAGAAGTCTGTGAAACTGGCTTGGAAACAAATAGCCAGGGTTTGTGTTTTGCAGCTTCCATTCTTATTTTATTTCTATTTTATTTTTTTTATTTTTTTTTCTTAATTCTGAGCTCATTCTTGGAGGAACCTACTGCCAAACTTACCTCAGGTACAATTGTTGAATTTTGTGGAAGCTTTAAAGATGCAGCAGATTTTAACTGGTGATATGTAGCAATGGAAATATTTGTATACTGCCTAAACAAGGTTTTAGAGGTCACTTGTATAAATGCAAATACTATATATTTCTAATTTGTTTTGTAAATAGTTATCAGTTTGTGAGACACAGTATGTCAGACCTACTTGATTTAAATAAACTTTAGCAACCTTTCTATTGCTTGATTAGTGTGAAAGCAGTGCTATGGTGTCCTTTTTGAAAGTGTAGCAGTGCAGCAATCCATCAGTGTGATCATAGCACTTGATGTGCTATGATGTGTGCCACCCAGATCTCCCCACAACTTTGAATAGTTTTGTAGAACTTCTGCTGTATTAAACCCTAAGTAAAAAAGGTAACAAACCATTTTACAGGAGGGCCTCTAAGAATTCTGCAGTAAGATGGGGTTAGTAAGCTTTAGAGCAAGTATCAGACTCTTGTGCTGTGTAGCAACACATGGCTATTGGACTAGTATCATGGCATTACAGCTCCTAATTATACAGGCTAAAGCTATAGTTGGCATGTAATTAGCTTCTTGCTGTCCTTGGAGTTTGCTGGGCATATGTAACATGACTAGTGTTGGAAATTAAGTTCTTCATAGGAAAACATAAGCAGTTACTACTACAGGCACTTAATGTCAGTACCAAACACCTGTAGTAACACCAGTGCTTAAAATCCTAGAAGTGCCCTACTTGAACCCACTACTGCTTGTTATATAGTTCTGGAGCAGTGGGGAAGAGGGAGAAAATGTATGAGAACTATCCAGTTTCCTGGGAGAGGGAGAAATATTCAGTTTCCTAGTCCAGGAACAAAGAAGCATAACACTTGAATTGACTCCATATTCTGAAACAAGTTCTGGGCATATTTGTTGTCTATTTGTCTGCTCGGGGACTAGAAGATGATTTCTCAATGCTGAAAGAATCACTGAAGGATGATGCTGTAAGTCAGGCTTGTCCAGCATGCGGGCCGCCATGTGGCCCACCAAGCCATTTTCTGTGGCCCGCGGTGCTGCGACAGGAAACGAAAGTAAATGCAGTTTGCTTTCGTTCTCACCCCTTGTCCCTCCCCCAGCCCCATAGCAGCTTACTAATGGCTGCTGAAGGGCTTGGGAAGGGACAAGGTTACTACACATACCATGTCAGCTTGACGTGGTGGTGTGTGTGTGTGTGTGTGTGTGTGTGTGTGTGTGTGTGTGTGGGAAGAGGAGAGCAGTGTCCCACTCATGATGGGATGGGCACAGCTGCACTTTTTCCCCCTACCTGCACTAGTCAGTCCTGAGCGACACAGCTCTGCCGCCACCTCTGGCTGGTGCCGACCCAGGTGGGTCTGTCCCATCCAGAGCAGCACCCAGCTGAAGCCGGATTCCCATGTGCTGCTGGGGCTGGGAGGAGCCCGGCTGGGTCCGCACCGGCCAGCAGAAGCGGCGGCGGAGCCATGTGCCACTCAGAACTGACCAGTGCAGGCAGGGGAAAATGCAGCTGAGCCCCTGCTGCTCTGGCCGGGCTTGTCCCATCCCGAGCGGCACACGGCTCCACTGCTGCTTCTGCTAGCCGGGGCAGACCCAGCTGGGCTCCTCCTGGCCC